GGAATTAGAATAGAAAGAAATTTTATATATAAAAGCTGATCTGTTTACTTAACTTTTCTTTAAAAAAATTAAGACTATAAAAATGAAACTGCCTCCATGGTTTTTCGTAAAAAAGAAAAGATCAGACAAACATATTGCTTATGTGGCAGACCCCCTTGCCAGTGCCCCAACTACTTTTCTGTTCTTACTGCTTTAGGAAATAGATTAGAAGACAGCAGTGCATTATATTAGTATTTATGTAGTAATCTTAAAGATTTACACAGGGGTTTTGACTTTGAATGTTTGAATAATTACTTTGGAATAATTAATTACCTTATCATGATATGTAAATTGCCTTCTGAAATGACCAGACAGTAAATATATTGAGATCAGGGACTCAGCTATATTATCCAATTCTTGTTCATATTCTATATTCTAATTGATAATCCTAATTTGGGGATGTCATATCATACTATATTTACTTAATTAAATATAGAATATCTATATATCACAATGGGTAGATTATGAGTTTTCAAGTTACAAAAATTATGGTTTCTGTCATACCTTTGCCCTCTGCCACGCATGTAATTTCCAACAATTTTAACCTCCTCCTTACTTCAGTTCCTTCATCTCTAACAGTATTACGCTGGAAGTAATACTATTTTATTAGGTGGAGGATTTTTATCATTTTTTAATTACTTTTAATGAAAATTTGCAGTCTTTGGATTTCCATTCATTTATTGTTGCACTTTTCTCCCTGCCCACCCCTCCCCTCCCAGTATACTCTTCTCTTTGAAAAGTAAAAGAAAAGTTGGAAGTTTAAATGAGATAACGTATACTCTGGTACATGATAACATTAGATAAATTTTGCCTCTCTTAACAGATTATTTTAGCAGTCTAGAGTGATGAGTCAGGTGTATGAAGAGAAAGTTGATTGGGATAAATGTAAAAACTTGAACTTGGTGCTAAATACCCATCAAAACAAGGGTGAAGGATGAGGTTTATCAGTAACATGTGGGAGAAGCATAGACAATTGCTCTCACTGGGCTTGCAAACAGTATGGTGGCAGCAAAAAAAAAAAAAAAAAAAAGGTTTAAGTATAGATATGCTCTACTCAGACTTCCCCAGAGTGTTGTATTTCATTTTGGACATGACAGTTTAAAAGAATATAATTTCTAAAAAAAATAGTAGAAAGCAGTTTTCAGCCTTGTGTGTCTTTTAAACCACTAATCACTCTCTGAGAACCTGGGTGCTTGAGAACAAAAAAAGAAGAGGTGAGTTTCTAGATGATTATATTGACTGATTATATCAGATATCACATATCAGACACCAGTCACTTATTTCAGATATCAATCAGTAATTATGTTACCAAAACTTATTAAATAAACTTTCTAGAGGGCAGACTTACTGCCTCTGAAAACCATCTTGAGGATCAGCTATGAGCCAGTCCTGACTTAACAGTACACCACCAACCCTACCACAACAGGTGCAGCACTTAACTATTAACATTAGAATTAAGGTGACCAAAGAATACAGTGTTGTTGTGTCAAGTTGGAATCAACTGCACCTCAAAAGAAAGAGGTAAACAACTCAATCACAAAATGGGCACAGGAAATGAACAGACATTTCACCAAAGAACACATTCAGATGGTGAACAAACAGATGAAGAAATGTTCAAAATCCCTAGCTGTAAGAGAGATGCAAATCAAACAACTGTGTGATATTATCTCACTCCAGCAACAATAGCAAAGTTCAACAGGGCAGCAGACAACAAATGCTGGTGAGATTGTGGAGAGACTCGAACTCTTAATCACTGCTAGTAGAATGTAAAATCGTACAGCCACCATGGAAGGTGGTCTGACCCATTCTCAAAAAGTTGGAAATAGATATACCGTTTGACCCAGAAATTTAGCTACTAGGAATATACCCTAAAGAAACCAGAATCTACATCCATGCTGATGTATTGACACCGATGTTCATTGCTGCCTTATTTACAATAGCAAAGAGATGGAAGCAACTCACATGCCCATCAACAAATGAATAGAGAGAAAAACAACGGTACATTCACACAATGGAATATTAGGTAGCATTGAAAAACAGTGAACTTGTAAAACACAGTATGGGGGAGCTTTGAGGACATTATGCTAAGTGAAACATCTCAGTCACAAAAGAACAAATACTGTGTAATACCATTATTATAAAATAGGACAGACACCCCACAACAAGATAAAGGTAAATAATCCAATTGAAAAATGGGCACAGGATATAAATAGACACTTCACCAAAGAAGACATTCAGATGGCCAACAAGCATATGAAGAAATGTTCAAAATCCCTAACTCTTAAGAGAGATGCAAATCAAAACAACTATGAGATATCATCTCACCCCAGTCAGAATATCAAAATTTAACAGAACAGCAAGCAACAAATGCTGGCGAGGTTGTGGAGAAACTGGAACCCTTATTCATTGTTGATGGGAATGTAAAATGGTGCAACCACTGCGGAAGGCGTTATGGCGCTTTCTCAAAAAGTTGCAGATAGAGATACCATTTGACCCAGCAATTCCACTACTGGGAATATACCCCAAAGAGACCATAACTGACACCCAAGCAGATATATGCACATCCATATTAATCATGGCTTTGTTCACAATAGCAAGGAGTTGGAAACAACCCAGGTGCCCATCAACAAACGAATGGATAGAGAAGCTATGGTATATTCACACAATGGAATACTATGCTGCATTGAAAAACAAGGAACTCATTCAATATTATTCAAAATGGGTGACCCTGAAGGACATTATGCTGAGTGAAATATCTCAGTTGCAAAAAGACAAATATCGCATGGTGCCACTGCTGTAAAATGGGACTGATATCAGGGTGGGGGTAAGACTGAGAAAAACTGGATAAATTGTGTATACTGCACTGAAACAGATGAGGGACTGAATAATTTAAAAGCAATGTATGATAGGGTATTATGGTTAGCACAAGAGTCCACAATTAAGGTTTCATAGTGGAATGTACTTAGGGCGGTGGGAGGGGTGCAGGGGGATTGTGTACCAGGGAGGGAATCTTTCTTTTACTTTTGAAAGAGAGGAGCGAACTGGGGGGTGGGCAGGAGAGGGCTGGGCGGGTAGAGAATTGCAGCAATGAATGAATGGAAATCCAAATTCTCTGTAAATGTTCATTAAAATTATTAAAGAAAATAACTACATTTAAAAAAATAGGACAGACATAGTGGAGTTGGGGAGAGATTGGAAGGATAGATAATGAGCGTTGCATTAGATCAGATGAGAGGAAGAACTGTCTGAAAGGAATATAAGGTTAGGCATAATATGTATAACAACAGTCTGGAAGAAGGGGTGCTTTGTGGGGAGGGGGAGGGAGGTAGGGAAGAAAGTGTGCAACAGTGAAAAAAATTAAACAAATCCCCAAACATTTGCAGCAACAGTATATTGGCAAAGAACTTTAAGACATTAAAGTTGGATTCAGAGGCAGGAGTAGATTGCCTATCCTTCTCCCACAGAGCAGCTGGGGGTCTTGAACCACATTCCTTTGGGATTACAGGATAGCTTCTTACTACTGGGACACCAGAGCTCTCTGAAAGATTGAAATAGGATAAAAGTACTTTGTACATGTACATAATTTTACTATTCAATGCCTGTTTTGGCTACCAGACTGGGGACAAAAGCAAAACATACACAGTCTGTCAATCTGTCTCATTGTCTCTCTCTTGTCATCAACTAGGAACTGTCTCATAACTCACCTTGCAGAGAGTTTTCAGGGACACATGGGAGGAGATTGCTCATCTTTATCCTGCAGACCAACTTATGGATTCAAACTTCCTGCCTTTGAGTTTGCAAGACAGCTTTTTATTCCCAAAACCACAAGAGCTCCATATACAACAAAACTATTGTTCAATGCCATCAAGTCAACTATTTCTCATTGAGGGTCTTTCTCTTTTTCACTGACACTCTACCTTTCCCAGCATGATATTGATCTCCAAGAACTGGTATTTGTTAAAATTGAATGATCATCTTCAACATCCTCAGCCAGAATATAATGTGGTTTATCAATGAGAATTGAGCTCCAATAAAAAGCTTTAAAACCCCTCCAAATCAGGCAGTGTTCATCCTTAGCAGCCAACAAATGTAAAACCAACATGGAGATGAATATCAGACTAGAATAACTTAATGATGCTTGATGATGGTAGCTGTGAGATGGGGGGAACCCCAAACAAACAAAAACTCATTGCTGTCAAGTGAGAATCATCTCATAGCTGACCTCCAGTGAATTTTCAGAAGATGTAAATCACAAGGGAGGAGGTTGCCTATCTGTCTCTGACGGAGCCAATAGATTAGGACCTTGTGCCTTTGGGTTGGCAGCACAACGCCCTACCCATCAGGGCATCAGAGTTCCCTGTAGCCATGAAGATCCTCCAGACAGAGGACTTTAACTGCCAGTAGGCTTTTCTTCTTGTTGTGCCTATTGAAAACAATACCAGAGATCAGTGTGATAATTCTTTTACATTTTTTCTCAAATGCCAAATAACACAATTTGAAAAAGTTTGGTATCTCTTTCTTTTCTCATCAGTAAAGTATTTTAAAATTTCTACTTTTTTACTTCTAAAAGTCTATAGATTCATGAAATTTCCTCATCATTAAAATATTGAAATTATTTTACCTGGGTGCAGTGGACAATGTTAAATGACATGGTAAGGTGGTAAGGATGTTCAAAATACATTATTAAAGTGTTCTTGCAGAATTTTACAAAGATATTTATACTCTGATCCTACAAGTATTTTGAAATATATATATATATACACACACACACATACATATGTAAAGTACATATAAAACTAAATTGATTATTATTATTTCTGAGTGGTAAGATAGAGGCAATTCTCATTTTCCTATTTTGTTTTCTGATTCTCCACAATTTCTAATTACTTGTATTAATTTTGTAATAGAAAATGGCATGTAAATCTGAGAAAATCCTTGTTTTGTAAATTATCTTAATTCAGCACTCTGTTAAATCTAATATAATGAAGGAAGATCCAACAAGAGACCTGAAACAGCTTCTCCAGGAGTTGAGAAGTGTGATCAACGATGAACCTGCTGTACCTCTGAACAAACCCGAGGAGGATGGGAGAGCGGCATCTCTAGGCCTGTATGTGACTGCATAACACTGACATAACCTTCACAGTGTGAAAACTCCTCTCATGAGTTGTTTAACAATTACTCCCAGGGAAGTTGAGGTTTGAAGAATATCTGATGTTACCAAGGAAAACAAGATGGGTAGAAGTGTTCAGTGAAAGTAAAGCATTTTGACATCTAGAGAAAATAATGCAGTCATTCTCTTCAGAAAGTAGCCAGTACAGGACAGTACCCAAAATAACATGTGTGTGATGGCTTATAATTCACAGTGGACTTTATGTTCACTGTCACAGAAACCCTTTATGACAGACAGGATAAAGTTTATCCTATTTTGGAAATGAGAAAAACAAGTTTTAAAAGTTTCATTGTCTTGCCTGTAATCATGCAGTTCTAGTTTTTAATCTAGAACCTTGGGGAACTGCATAATTCTCCAGGAATAACCCAACAGGAAGGGTCTTGGTTCTCTGCCTGTTCATGTCAATAATTTATACCAAATTAATGAAAGGACAGATCCAAAAAATGGTTCTGCCAGTTCACCAACCCTTCCTTGTACAAACCTGCAGTAAGCAATGAATTGTAATATTTTTTCTTATTATATTTTTTCTTTTGTTGTGCATTAATATTCAAATTGTTATCTTAAACATTTTAATAGGATATTTTCTAATTTTAGTATTAAATAATTATACTGATTTTTTTTGTTCTATGACAAATACTTGGAATAATACTTTCTGAAATTATGCTTACATATAAACATTCTTTAGTTCCTTAAGATGTTTTATTAGTGTTCATTAACCCAAGATGCCAAAGTTTTAGCTGGATTTATCTAATTGTTATTAATGCTAATATTAGCTTTGCTATTAAAATACTGATAGCAACCCAATAACCAGTACAATATTGCATTTTCTGAATCACTTCATGTCGGGAATACGTTATTGGCTACTCCGGCAAAAAAGGTTTTTCTTTTTGTCATAGCTCTATAGCAGGCCTTCTAAACTAGATTGCGCTAAAAATCTAATTTGACATCTGAGGAAATTCAGGCATACATTGACTAGCCCTTTCCTTTGAAGCTAAGAGGCAAAGCCAGAAATAAAAGTGAAAGCCTCTGGCTCCTAGCAGTAATCATTCTACAGGCTTACCGTGGCTTCCCTGATCAGTTTCCATCAATTCAGCCACTAGCTAATGGCTTGAGTTGCATTAGACGGTATTGAACATGAATATATATGACTACTACCTTTAGAAAGTCTGTTAACTTGCCATTAGTCCAACAAAAGGGTGCTAGCAGCCCCTATACTGATGGAAGACAGTGAGGATTCCTGCAGGGATAGCATTCTGCATCATTTACTTGGAAGCCTAAAATCTATTTTTGTGACTTTCTCAAGATATAAAGTCATATTAGCAATTGATTATTATAAAATACAAAAGATCTACATTCTTTATAAAATTAACTGAGAATAGTATTTGTCTCTTAACAGAGATGAGAGAGTAAGAGATTGTATCGCTGAATCAAGCCTGAGAGCAGAAATATGCCATAGGTAAGCATCCTGCTTAATTTCCAAGAAATTATTTATGCTTTTATAATTAATATCTAGAAATTTTAATTTGTTAATTGGAATTATGCCAGATACGTAGATCTCCCATAGACAGATGAGTTTTTACTCCCTTAAAGCACATGTAAAAAGTACTCATCATAAATCTATTAGAAAATATTTGAAATACCACCAGAACTGGTAGAATCATTCAATTGATGAAATGTAAAACCTCAAATTGTTATCTTTAAATTATTGTTGTCATCTGTCATCAAGTTGCCTGTGACTTGCAGTGACCCTATATATAATAGTTATGAACCCTGCCCTAAACAGAGCCAGTCTCACTGATTCTGACATACTTCATTGCATTGCCCCAGTTATCTCAATCCATCTCATCTGGGGTCTCTCCACCCTTCCAAGCATGATGTCCATCATTTTTTTTAAAAAAAAATTATTATTAATTTCAGTGAAAATTTACAGAGACTTTGGATTTCCATTCATTCATTGTTGCACTTTTCTCCCCTCCCAATCCTCCCCCCCCAGTACACTCCCAAAGAAAAATTCTTTCATTATTTTGCAATCCGTCCTCCCAGCTCCACTCTACTATGCAGCCTTTGCTCTGGACTCCCCTCATGACAAAAATACCTAATCACATATCCCTTTTAAACAGTTTTTCCCCTCATCTGTTTCAATGCAGTATACATTATTAAACCCATCTTTCTCAGTCTCCTCCCAACCCCGATGTCAGTCCTGTTTTACAACAATGGCACCATGCAGTATTTATCCTTTTGTGACTGAGATACTTCACTCAGCATAATGTCCTCCAAAGTCACCCATTTTGAATAATATTGCATGAGTTCCTTATTTTTCAATGCAGCATAATATTCCATTGTGTGAATATACCACAGCTTCTCTGTCCATTCATATGTTGATGGGCACCTGGGTTGTTTCCAACTCCTTGCTATTGTGAACAAAACTGCAATAAACATGCATGTGCATATATCTGCTTGGATGTCAGTTATGGTCTCTTTGGGATATATTCCCAGTAGTGGAATTGCTGGGTCAAATGGTATCTCTATTTGCAACTTTTTGAGAAAGCACCATACCGCCTTCCACAGTGGTTGCACCATTTTACATTTCCACCAACACAACCTCATCAGCATTTGTTGCTTGCTGTTCTGTTAAATTTTGCTATTCTGACTGGGATGAGATGATATCTCATAGTTGTTTAGATTTGCATCTCTCTTAGAGCTAGGGATTTTGAATATTTCTTCATGTGTTCGTTAGGCATCTGAATGTCTTCTTTTGTGAAGCATCTGTTCATATCCTGTGCCCATTTTTTTATTGGATTATTTACCTTTATCTTGTTGTGGTGCTCAAGTATTTTACAAATTCTAGATATAAGTCCCTTCTCTGATATATCATTACCAAATACTTTTTCCCAGTCGGTGGCTTCCCTTTTTACCCTGTTGGAATAGTTTATGGATGTGCATAGGGATATGATTCTTAGAAGGTCCCATTCATCTATTTTATCTTCTCCTGGTTGTAGGATATGATGTCCATCTTCAAGCACTGATCCCTCCTGGTTACATGCCCAGGGTATTGTGAGACAGACCTTTAAAATCCTTGCCTCCAAAGAGAAAATTGGTTTTATCCTCTCAGACAGATCTGTTTGTTCTCCTGGCAGTCTGTGGTGTGTTCAAGACCCTTCTCCAGCACCACAGCTCAAAGGCATCAATTCTTCTGTCATCCTTAGTCATTCTCCAGTTTTCTGATGTATCTTTAAATTACATAATCAAAAAATAGAATTCTAGGTGTTGTTTTGTAAACTTTATGATCTTCAAATGCTTTTGCAGCTGAAATGATGTTTTACACATTAGTTCTTGCCACCTTTTTTAATTTTGATCTTCATTTGTATTGGATAATTGGTCTTTCAGGAATGTGAGTTATGGTTATGTAATAACCATGTAACTTGGAAATATCCATCAATGAAATAAAATTATATAAATTAAGCAAGTTGGTTTTGTGTTCCATTGAGTCCGAACCAACCTATAGCTGACCCTTCAGTGGGTTTTCAGAGAAAGAAATCACATGAGAGGATATTGCCCATCTTTCTGTCTTTGGAGCAGCTGGTAGATTTGAACCACATGCCTTTGAGATTACAACACAGATTTTTACCACTAGGCCATGAAAATCTTGATTTGAACATAGATGGAGTTTCCTTCAGTACTACAATGATTCCCAGCTCCATCATCGCTGAGCTTCTAATGCTCAGTTGTCCTGTAAGTAGCGATCAGGATTAAAGTCCAGAGACAAACACACCTGATGACCTGGAGGAATGGTGTGCCCTGCCACAGTCTAAAGAGTTTTGACCATTCTCATCATGGTCATTTGAATCTTGAAAGTCCAGTGAAATACTTGGGAGCCATAGGTTATTAATTTACTTTACTACTATTTATGTGTGGAAATGAGAGTGTAGGAGGGGGTACCTACCACTTTTAAAGCCAGTGTGAAGAGACAATATTGTTCTTGCATATGATGATACTTAACAATGATGGGACTGTGTTAGAGAAAAATTTCAATCATGACTTAGTATTTTCTAAATATATACACACATATATGAGCATGTGCATATGTATTTATAGAAGAACTCTGATTGCCTAGTGGTAAGATTTGTGCTGCAATCCAAAAGACACATAGTTCGAATTCACCAGCTGCTCCACCAGAGAGAATGAGCCATCCCTTCCTGTGCAGTTTACAGCCTCTGAAAACCCAGTGAATGGTCAGCTATGAGTCGGTTCTGACTCCACAGTATACAACAACCCCAAACATAATGAGATTCTGAATTCTATTAATTCTGAATTTTATATGTGACCACATCATTTGGAGGTTGGTTTTGTTTTTTGGGGTTTTTTTGGTCAATTTTCAAGAGAATTGATGGGCATATTTGGTTCATTGAGAAAAACTATTACATTGCTTAAATGAAACTAAAAAGGATCTCAACAGAATTTTAAACAATATAAGCCAGGAAGTATTAAAAGAAGATGGAAAGAATATACTGAGTCACTGTATCGAAAGGAATTGGCAGACACAGAAGAATTTCATGAAACAACGTATGAACAAGAGCCTATGGTGATGAAAGAAGAAGTTCAGGCTGCTTTGAAGGAAATGGCAAAAAAATAAAGCTCCAGGAATAGATGGTATACCAATTGACATA